TAATAAACTGAAAATGCTTCCTATTTTTACAAAAAGTTTAAAGTCGAACTTGGGCGGCATTAGATTTCAAATGTGAACTAGAAAGGAAACCCATTTTCACACGCACCGATCGCACCGGTCACCCCGCTCGCATCGTGTAAGTTGATATATACAATTTTTCGACAATTTAACAAGTAGGTATGATTATGAGTATTTAGAGGAAGACATTATATGTACAACCTATGTATGGTATGTAGCTGAAATGAGTCTTTTATTAAATATTATTATTTCGAGTACAAGAATTCGTTGAAAGACAATTCAGATATAAAACACCAAATATAAATCACAGATTTTTGTGTAATTGTGGAATTTAATGAAACCGGTTGGCATATTTAGAAACAAATTCATATAAATCCAATTAGAGTTGTGACGCGGCGGCACACATGATGGGGCGCGAATATTTATATTTTTATACCGAGTCTTTTTTTAATGGTTGGCGGGGAGAGAACCATAACAAATTATGCCTGTTATTCGATGTTGGCTTACATCATCGCAATTTAGTCTATTTAAAGTTAAAGCCTATAAATGAAACACATGCAAATGTGTCTCTGGATTTGTGCTGAAAAATTGAGAACGGAATTCTATGGTTTGCTATTTTTAAAAGCCACATGCACTTTTCTGATGGCAATGTGTGTCATATTTTAAAAATAAATGGAGCACACAATGTATTGCAATTTTTATGAGCTGCAAATAAAATCACAACTTTTATGTTCCTCTATACTAGTTACCTTAATTGTTGATACATTTATAGATTAATAAAATTAAAATGCAAAAATTTTAGAAAATAATTTTATGTATTCTACATATAATATTTTCTCTACATTCCATTACATTTTTAATATACATAGACGTATTCGTATGCCCTATGCGATACTCGATGGATTTATTGAAATATATTTTATTAAAACTACATTCAGTTAACAACTGAAATTCTAGCACATATTTATATCTCACAACAATTCAGTTTTGAAAATAAAATAAATAAAATTAATAATTTTGTAAAATAGTTCACTTTAAAGAATTTCTTACTTACAGAAACAAGGAACTAACTATCGGAAAAGTATCTATAGAAAGTGTTTATACGTCACTCATAGTGAAAGAATATTGCTCTTACTTTTTTATTTTTTGTTTTAATTACACTATTAAAAAACATTATGGGCCTAAAGGCCTAAGTGGATCCCTTGGGACAATTGATATAACCTAATCTACACTATTAAAAAATGAACCTTAAAATTTTTTTAACTTCAGAAACAATGGCACTATCTGCCCCACCTAAAATGCATTAATTATTTTTATCAATATTTTTCATGTATGGTATATTATCTAGACCTGGTACGAGTATTAAAGTTTGTAAATATAAGCCCGTATCTCAAGAGATTCAGCTCACTTAGGCACTATGAAATACGTTCCTGAAGTTTGAAATACGTCTAAAAATGAAAAAAAAAGACTGCCTAAGTTACGTTCGGAAAGTCAGGCAGCTATGCTATCTCTTCAACTTTAAACTGTAGATTCGTATATATACAATACAATTGACTTATTGAAGTAGTACTTAAAAAATCAAATATAAAAGTTATGCGAGAATTTCAAAGGCTTAGTTGAAGTAGACTGCAGGTTTTTAAGTCTACACACGTCTTAATTCAGATTATTCACTAGTGTTGTCTTAATAAAATATGCTTCCGTTAACTACTATTCTTTAAATATTGTACTAAAAGACACCGACTTCTACAAATTATCAGAAATGTAGAGTGTAGCTTCCGATAATCTTATGAGACTAAGTAGGAGTTTTACAATATACCATTGTTCCCCTTAAGTTGATAAAATAAGAAGACGCGTCAAATCTTTTACAGAACTTTTGACAAAGATACCACTACCATTTTTTGGAAAACCATTGTATCTAAGCAGTGGTTAGATACATCGCAACTGGTCAAAATGTCTTTAATACATTTTGTATGAAATTACAAAAACAACTATATTACATGCAAAATGCATATTATATATTCGTTTTTAAAATTATCAGGCACTCGTGTGAGTTATATTTTGTTTTCAAAAATAAAAGTTATTTCTGATTTTTATATTTTTAAGGCAAAAATAACAGTTATTTGTGCGTGCGAAAAGTAAAAGGCACATGATAATAATTATTTCTGAAGAATATAATAAAGCAAATATAAATATTATTTTTTTACTTCTATTTTAAAACGCTCATATATAAAAAGCATGCATAATATTAAGGATGAAAGTTATATATATATATTTATATATATTATATATATATATATATATATTTAAATATATATATATATTTGTATATATATTTTATATATTTAAATATGATAAACTCATAACTTTTTATTATTGTTTTTTTCTTAAAAATTTTTGTAAAACTGTTATTTTCGGTCCTTGATACAAAGTGCCTTTATATATGGTAAATGAGCTCGTTATCATTAAATCATCTTATTGAAGGCGAAAAATTTCGAATGCAACCCTTAAAAATAAATTTCCCACAAGGAAAATGACCAAAATTTAAATTATGTGTCATATGTTTTACATGCAAAATGTAAATAAATTACAGTTGAGTTTGTTTACAACTGATGAAGTAAGTATTTAATAAAATCTTTGTTTTTATTAATTGAATATGTAATTGACTGTATATAAACTGTGTATAAATGATTTAATATGTTAATTAATTTAATTTCGTTTTATGTAATATAATATTAAGTGAAGTTTATAAAAGTTCTATCAGCTGCATAAATGAACTCATTATAATGTGAACGTTCACACCAAAAAGATCATTATGAAAACTGAGAAAAAGGAAAGAGTAAAAACGATCGCATCTCCCACCTTTTCGAACGACAATATACGACACATTTTGTTTTGATTAATACGCTGGAATATAGATATAATTTGTAACATAAATAACTAAAATTAAGTCAGTGTAAATAAATAAGTGTAAATAAAACTACTAAAACAACCACTACAAGTAAGTGCCTAAATAAGACAGTGTGAATGTATTATTAGTTAAGAATATATTAAAAGAAATTACTCCAAAAACGTCAAAATATATTTCCCAAGGGGGAAATGATCAAAATTTAACATATGACACAAAATGTAAATAAATAAAAAACAAACATGTCGAAGAAACAAAGGATTAAAATTTTCTAAAGTTTTTTAAATAAATATTATAAACACAAATTTTGCATTTACTGCGTTTTTCATGATTAATTAATTAATTTCTGCTAATAATACAAAACTAAATGTTATCAATTGAACAATAGAAATGTAAGTAAACAAAAGTTGTCCTAGAACTTTCACAGCACTTTCTGACACATAAATGCTATTTCATAAATAAATCAATTTATGCCAATAAAAACGACTAAATCTTAATAAGATTAATATAAATTGATTTAGCTGCAGTGGGAACATCGTATAACGAACGACATTTCGAAAAATAGTAGAAAAGCAGTTATATACATTAAAAAGTGGAAATATATAGACTCTCTAAACCAATTTTATTGCTATTCCAATAATGGTCTTATTCTCCACATTTCTACAAACTTTTTCAATAATTAGTGAGTGTCGTAATACTCTAAAATGTAACGTATAGAAAAATTTACATATACTGTTATGTAAAAAATTCAAGTTTTAAATAAAACAAATATTTCACATACTATTTAATACAAAAGAAATAAAATTAATCCATTGTTATAATTAAGATAGAAATTAAAAAAATATATGTATGTGGGATAAGAACACCCAAAATGCAACTCTGCCCCTACTTTTGAGAAAACAGATGATCAATATCAACGAACAATAGGGAAGACGTGTTTGCTTGACGATGAAACAACGAATAAAGAAGTTATAAAGTATTTAAATAACTTTTAATTATAATTTAACATAATACTTTAAGTGTATAATAATAAATTAATATTATAACAATATTGCCACATAAATAAATTTGAAAATAATATTTTTTTCTGTTTAGTAAGAATAAAAACAAATTATTAGATTTTTATTTGAAACTTTTCCTATAATTTCTACGTAATCTGCTTTTTATTTAGAGAGGAAAAACAAATTTATTTTTTTTTTAAGTTTACTTATCTTTTACTTGAATAGTATCTGATAATACTACATAATTCTACTATTGTAAATTACGAATTTAATTTAAACTTGATTTTTTTTTTTTTTCATCCGTTTATGTTGAAAGTATGTGTTTATTCATATATGAACAGATGCTTATAGATCATTACATTGGATCGAAATGAAGATTTTTTTGTTTTGACTTTTATATTTTGTGTTTTTCATGATACATTTAATCATATTTTTTTGTAAATAGTAAATTATTTACTTAAATTTAGCACAATTAATGGGATGTGTTCAACCATTTCAACTGAGAGATTTCAAACCGCCTTTTAAGCTTGATTTTGTACAATTTACAATTCAATCGTAATATTACGAAAGTGAGATGAACTATATAATAATTTATATTACGATTACTTCTGTTGTGTGAATAGCCATACATCATACATAAGTCACGTTTAACTACTAATACGAACATTTTTGAACGAGTGGTTTGAACAAAAACATCGAACAGCTGTTCGACAACCTGAGGATTCAAACTGCCAAGCAATTTGCCTGACAACGGCGTTGCAAATTTTGAGAAGTTTTAGTTGAAATTATGTTTATTAATAATAAATTCTGTATTCAATACATTTTTAATACAAGCTAAAAATATATTACTTAAGATGAATTGTTAAAAATTTATTATAAATAATAAAACCATTAAAAACAAACCATAAAGGCTAACAGTGACGGCGTTAAAAAATTTACAGTGGCGTCAAATTTTCTTATCATTGTTTTTGTTTGGTTTCGCGAACAAAGAAAGTTGAAGATTTTATTTTCATAACAATATTAAACATAAAATCTTGCTTTTATTTTAAACTTGTAATATTAGTTAATTTTTGAATTTTAATAAATTGATTTTTCGCTTTATTCGATTATGCGAAATTTTAAATAAAATAGTAAATATGAATCCGAAGGCTCGTGAAAAAATACTGAAGTCATGGGCGAGTTTAGGCGAGGTGCAACTCATCAAGGAGGTCGCAACCAAAGGAGAAAATATAGACTTATGCATTGAGTATTGGTCCAAAAAACGCAAAATCCCAATACCGGAATACGAACTATTTTTCCATGATGTCGTGCAGACATACGTGCAACGTCTGCTAATCGAACGACTTGTTTACAAGGCCGAAAACGTCCTCCGGAATGTGCAGCGGGACGTAAAATGTTTTTACTTTCAATTTGCGAATGAATGTGACAATGCAGAGCTAAGGGAGTTACTTTTCGACTATATGCAAAAGAAAGCCACACACAATTTTGAGAAAGAAATGCAGGATTTACAGCTTAACTGGGAACTGCTGCAGCAAATCCAATTATGCCCAGAAATCTTAAGCAAATATAAACAACTTCATCATCCACGCATTAGTCTTGAATCACTCGTCACGCTTAACACCTCACTTAAGCAACAACTTATGGCGGAATTGTATTACAACAACAAGAATCAGATGCTACTGAATTACTTGAATAAGAACGTTTTCTGGAACTTTTTAGTAGACAGCAAAAATGAAACTGAGCTTATACGTTGGTATTGTGCCTATCGAGATATGCATAAGGACGAAGACTCCTCAAGTCATGTGACAGTGAATGGTGAAGATTTGGTTATAATGTATGGTCAATGGATAATCGAAACGCCTATGTATGAGTATGCATTAAAAGAATTGAAGGAGCCAGATGAAGTGTTACGAAATTGCTTTGCAATTGCTGGATATTTCTTTCGAGATGAACGTAATGGTGATCCACTAAAAATGATAAAACGTATATGCACCACAGAAAGTTTTGAAATTGTAAGTTCCCAAAATTAAAATTGTAAAAAAATAATTTCTATTTCTTTTCTGCAGAACAAAGCACATTTGGAAAAAGTGCAACTGGGTTCCTACCTATTGGACAATAAATACTATGCACTATTACTACAAAATTTTGTAAGCGTACGTGAGTTAGAGGAGCTATGCGAAGAGAAGCCAGATGATCGTCCATTGTTAGAACTGATAGTCGATTTGAAGAAAAATGATTTGAATGAATTTCACGGTTTTAAAATGGTAGAATTATAATTTGTTAAAAGGTTTAAAGTTGTTAAATATATTTCTATTTAGATTGTACAATCGACTAGTGCCTATCTGGAGCAGAATGGTATTGATGTAGAATGTGAACAACCGCTAGCAACATTCTATGAGTTCCTTTGTAATGAACCTACAATTGCTTCCTTGCAATGTTTCTTACTATCGAATTCTTTACAAATTCCATATTTAAATTCACTGCGGCAACGATTTAAGAACTGTGGTATTGAAGCTACTATTAACATACCAAGTCCCTTTGAGTTTTTGCAAAAATTTAAAAATATTAATTTTAAAGAAATTTGTTATGATGTCAATGAAGTAGTTTCCTTCTCGAATGAACGCCTATGCCAAAAATATGCACCCAAGTATCAGTTGAACTTCCTGCATTATGTTAAACAACATCGTAGCGCATATGCCGTGTACTATTTGCTCACAAATCAGCTGCAACATTACGCACAAATTACCAAAAGTCAGTTGTTCCGAGCTTGTGAGAGTGTGACGAAGCTAGCACTGCAACATATGTCCGATGCTGATCTGGTAGCGCATTGTGTAGGTTTCATAGAAATGTTGGGTTTTGATACACAGCATTTGCGTTGTGTGATAAAACTTTGTCATTTCATTGAATCAGACTGCATACCACACTATGAGGAACTAATCAAAAAGGTGGAATATAAACTAACCAAACAATTGGAAGCAAATAACACAGAATTTCCAATTACTGGCTATCAAGCTTTAATGCATATTGTAAACTGCAATCAGCAACGTTATTGGCCAACAGAGATATTGCAACAATATGCCAATAATAATGATTGGTGGCGTATACTCATACTAATACAGTATTTCGAAATTCCGCTGGATCAAATAAAACTATTAAAAGAAGCATTCGAATCCAAAACAATGGGTGAACATTTACTACGGTCTCTGTCCAATGATCGCCCTACCACAAAACGGAAAAATAGTATATGCAGATTAAAAAAGCAAACAAAGACAGGAAATGCTGTATGTTTTATTTTAAAAATTAAATTCAAATTCAAAATAATGCAGATCACTAATTTATCTCAATTCTATTTCAGCAAACTCACACATCCGACGAAACTCTTACTTCATCTGTAGTGTCATGCACTGATGGCAATATATGGTCGCTGCCCTCTAATATGGAAAGCTTGAAGTATTTATTGGATACAACCGATAGACCAGATATTTTTGCATTGATTTTATTAAGCACTACATCTATACCAGAAAACTTGATTTCCAAACACATGAAATTTATAGAAATAATGATAGACAAAAATATCTATGATACCTCAACGAATCTATTGAAGAACAGCATTAAGTATGGTTCACCCATGTTAGCCCTATTATCTGCCATGGTGTCTACTACCAACCTGGGTTGGTGTTGGTTTGTTTGGGTTATCGTATCAACGGGACAATGGCTTGACATAGCTCCTTTAACTCACAAAGATACAAATGAACTGTTTTGGCACACTTTAGAGAGTACAGTGCGTTCGGGTTACACTACCACATTATACCAAAGTTTTTACGTATTTTTTGAGGTAAATATCAATTATACTAACATTTTTCAATTGTATATTTTAACTAGAAAATTAAATTCTTCACAGGACAATCCTATGCAACAATTCTTTAATTTTCTCTCTATAACACAAAAATTGCGGGACTTCAGCGCAGAAACAGTGCATGAACTGCGTTTGTTTTTGTTAGCATGGAGTAATGAGGAAATTGAGTTGCCACTGAGCATAGCACCAAAGAAGGATGAACTGATATTGCGCTGCACAAAATTACTTTTAATACACCTGGAACATAATTTCGATTCCAGTTTAGATCAGCAAAAATTTTTAAATTGCATTTGTAGTTCGGATATGAGCGATATATCCAGTTTACTGGACTTCTGTTTATTAAGCAAAGTATTTGATATATTACAGTCGACCAAGAATTACAGTTCGTTATGTGCTCTGCTTAATTTTGAACATTTATTAAAAGAAGGCATTGCGGTTTACAGACAGCTTCTAAAAGCGCTCCTGGCGGAAAAAGAATTTGATTTAGCTGTGCGATTAGCGACGTTACTACACTTGCCCATAAGTGATATTATTTATTCGAAGTGGGTTGAAAACGCAGACAATGATAATTTAAAAATAATTCCACTTCAACAATACGAAAATGAAATTGCTGAACATGCAATACCACCCAGTGTACTGGTGAATTTCTTTCTCTATGTCGCTTCACGTATTGAAACAAATCATGCTTGCAAGTACGAGTTACTCAAAAATGCACTTAATGTTATTAAGAGACATCATCTTTTTCCAAATGAATCATTTGATCGCGATGAAATAGAATATGATATGGTTATTTGCTACTTACATATAGAAAGTTCGAAAACAGTGGAAAATCTTGAAATTTATCACTCCGAATATTTCGAGGAAATTATGTTAAAAGAACGTTGTGTTCTCTACAAGTCATTTCTCGAACTTAAAGAATTGGCAGGTATTGAGGATCTTAATGTTCATACCAAAAAGGAGTTAAGTGAAGAATTGCAGTCGAAATTGATTGAACTTATATATCGTCTATTAGATGAGGGCGATATTGTAGAAGCATTACGTATACAAGAATTATTCAAATGCCGTCCGATTGACTTACGTTTTGTTGTATTTTGTATGGCACTAGCGGAAGGAATAACAACAATATTCAATATGGTACCTGAAGAACGTCAATTGTTAAGCGATATTGAGAAAAGTTCATTTGCAAAGTTTAATAAGCGAACTTTAGAAGGTAAATATTGAAATTTTTTAATATAACATATAATTTTAAAAGAAAGTATATTATTAATATTTCATTTTTCATTGTGTTAGTCAATAAAAATAGTCCCCACTTTCAAAGGCAAATATTAAAATCGACTCCGAATACTTCTGACCATTTTTTAAACCACCAATAAGAAATTGTCGTGGCTTGCAGAAATCTGCTTATCTAATCCCTTTTATGAGTGGCGAACGGCACTTGATCGTTGAACACAACGAGTTACTCCAGAACTTAGATTCGGTCGTTCTTGGAACCAATAAGAAGTTAAGCTCACATTGACAACCAATTGCATTCACTCAAATGAGAAATGTAAAACACTGCATTTAATAATTAAATCAGGAAATCTGATTTTAAAATTCTTATTGAGAGTATGAATGCTCGTTGAAATGTGAAGAACTCTGGGACATATAGTCCCACTGATACTTAACAACTTAAAATATAACTGCGTCAACATGTACACTAGTTAGATTTATTATCGATTTAGTTGAATAAAAATTCAACTACTATCTGTTCGATGGATCTTCACTGACTTGATAGAGCTGTAATCCTTTAATATTACAGACGTAGTCAAATTTAAAGACTTATTCCATTGGTTTGCTTCTTTTTAAATAGAAGAGTAGCGCCTTTTCAAAGGATGACGTTCTTGCGCTAGTTGTTTAAGACTTCTAAGGAATAAATGGTGGATGCCTGGTCAAATCTGTAGACCAGAACGTTATTGTGGATTAAGTTGGTCTACAACTAGGTCTCTAATCAATAATTGATTTCAACCGAGAGAAGTCGCTACTGGCGCGACAGTCGAGGTAACCGTCAGCCTAAAGAGCTGGTTCACCCCAATAGTTATAATAAGATAACCTTCTTCAGCAGAACAGAGTTCAGATTGCTGGTGGGATATCTAACGGGTCACCATGGACTACGTTACCACCTCAACAAAATGGGTCTGTCCGAAGAGATAAAGTGTTGACTCTGCTTAGAAACAGAGGAGACATCCAGCCACATTCTATGTGACTGCCCAGCCATGATCTGGGTCAGGAGTAGGTCACTGGGTCGGGAACTGCTCTCGCCTTCCAACATTAGGAGGTCCTCAACGGCCGACATTTTAGCCTTCATTCGGAAGGCGGAATGTCTTCTGTTGGGTTAGAGTCTGTTGCAGCACAAAAGATCAAGCATGGTCGCAGTGCTGTGCTCAAGTGGAAGCTAGTACCTCGTTCATTCTTATCTATCTTATCTAATTAATGAAAACTTTCATTCAAAAGTCTATAGCATTTAAGCATTTATTAAAAAGTTATTTTAGAATAGAAATCATAAGTTTTTGCAATTTAACTGATTTATTTTTTATATTCCTTATTTAGATTCTCCATCTTCGATTCAATCAATCATTGACTTTTCTGACAGCGATTCAACATTAGAATTCGAGGAAATACCCTCCAAACATAAACGTGATACATTAGAAACCATACAAGGAATTGCCTCTAAACTTAAGCACGGTGTGGACATGGCCAAACGTGTTGTAATGGTTTATCGAGCTGCAATGTACTTGGACAAAGAATATTTGGATATTTTACGAACCAAAGATGCTAATGTCTTATTAAAAAGTGTCACAGCAGAAGAATGCATGCATCGTCTGTTAGTTGTTAGTGATATCTTAAACTCTACACAAATGACACCACAAGAGGTATAGTAGTTTATATGGAACAGTAATTAATGACTAACTAATTTTTTCTCTTTTAGATTGCAGATTTATTGGCTTTTGAAATAGCAACGGCTATAGTAAGACCACGATTTTATATTTTTAGTGCTGATCAGCACTCAAAAAATAGTTTTAAAAATGCAGAATTATGGGGTTATAACATAGATCGTGATTTTCATCTCTTCTTGGAACTCACTTCCAACACAACAAAACTAGGCAATTGTTTGTTGGACTACTGTGATGCTTTAAAAACGTATCGTAAATTTCAGGATAACAAACCCTATGAACATAATGCTGTCTTTGAAAAATTACTAGAAATAATAGCGCTTTATGGTCTACCTGTACCAACCACACTGCCAACATCGACGTCAAATGAACCACCACAAGTATTATCACATAAAAAACAGAATCTCATATATGTTGAACTTTTGATCAAAGCACATCAATGCTTTGTTAATGAGTGTTCCATGGAAGGCATTGCAAATGTGTTAAATCGTGCAAAAGCTTTAAATGTAATCTTAACAAAAGCGAAGTCTTGGTCATTAATAGTCCGTATGTTAATTGGTATTGCACGTTATCGTGAAATGTTTTATTGTTTCAATTCTTTGATTGAAAATGAACAATTTGAGTCTCTGTTGGGTCAGTTTGATAAGGAAAAAACTGTTGCATTGCGTCAGGCGATTGTTGTGTATTTGCGTGAATATTGTCCAACGAACTCTAGAGAACTTTTTAAACTCGCTGCTTTGCATTTTCTTATGCACAAAGATCTTGCGGAAATGTGGGAACAAGATGCTCAAGCAATTATTTCAAACATACTTACAACTGCAAAGGTGACTGATCCACAACTATTGGAACAGACTAGTACAACCAATTTATTAGCTAGCAATGCGAATACAAAGACAATTATACCAAAATTATCAATTGGAACGGAAATAATTACTTTACTACACAACGCATTAGATAATTATACACACGCAGCCGAAAACTATTTACTGGACAATAAGTTACTGTCTGCACAGAAAAGTGCTTATTTAGCCGAAATGATAGCAATGCAAATAGATTTAGCCACAAAGGCGCTCAATAAAACGACAACACCACATTTGTGCGTTTGTGTTATAAATGTACAAAGTCGTGATGAATTCCGTGACTTGGTCAATATTGAATTAAGGTAATCTTAAAGTATTTCTAATTTTAATAATAATCCAACAAATATTCACACATACGCCTAATCCATTTATTTAGTGTTCCGCAAACTTTAATATTGAGCCGAGCATTAGGATTCGATGTCAATTGGACGGAGGCAATATTATCTCAATATGTTATTTCTAACAAAAAAACCTATTTAAGCGATTATTTAGCTTACTTAGATTTAAATGATGGCATTATTACTAATATTGTAAAAGGGTATGTAGTCAGTTAATACCTTTTACCTTTCGTTGTAATTTAATTTTTCTAATTTTGCTTTCTCAGATATCAAATATATTTGCAGCAAAACAAAGCCACCATAGTTATGGAGGAGAATCTTGCGCATTTAATCGAATATGTTAAATCAATTACTTTGAAATATAAATTAGCTTCCATTTTGACATTAAAGGGAATCGTAATGTCCTTAATTAACGATCATACAATCTATTATTTAAGAGACACTAACTTTGGACGTAACGAAAACCAAAATATGCCTGATATTTAAATTAAATTGTGATAAATTATTTTAATATAAACATTTTATCTAGAATAACGCAAAATATATAAATTTTAATAACGTATAGTGTAAATTTATGGGAAAAGAAAATGTCTTGCCTATAATTTGTATACTTATATTAAATCAAATTTTTAAATAAATAAATATATAATAATTGTCTTTTACATAAATAAGTTTTATACAAATTTAAAATGTTTATAACTAAAATAAAAGACATACCTTTTCAAATTTAATATTAAAACTAAAATCGTGGCGTCATATACAAAAACAAAAATGACGCAGTGCAATTGTAATTAACCGCCGTCTTATTTAAATAGTTTATAATTTTAAGAAATAACTCAGTTTGATTATTGTGTAAATACAATATATTCATATTATATATTTTACCTTTCTCTTAAAAACAGATATTAAGTAACTGAAAAATTTTCACTTTCATGCGCTATTTGAATGTTTTAAAATTCCACAACTGTCAAGATTTTTACTGTTAGAGTACAGGGTTGCATTTGGGAAATGGTCTTTAAAAATTATTTCAAAATAATTATTTTAAACAATACAAAATTTTTGTTTCAATTTAACTCAGCTGTGGGGTCAAATAAAAATTGAATATTATTATTCTTATGTATATTGCATTTTTTACATATAATATAATATTTTTTTGCTCACACATATGCACCACAGTTTGTTTGAACTCACTGAACACACCTATACGAAATATTGACAACTCTGTTCAAGTAACGAGTAAATACTTTTTCTCATAAGAATTGTGAATCTTGTTTAGCGTGCGAAGTCCGTTCAGTCGTTGGATTTGATTGATTGTTAATATAAAAAGTAAATTTCCTGTTCATTAATAAAATAAAAGTAATTATTTTATAAATTTTTAATATTATTAAAGATAACAGAAAAAATTTGTATATTATTAGGGAAATGGCACAAAGCAAATTGAATGATTTGGCTGGAAAATTTGGCAAAGGTGGTCCACCTGGTTTAACAACCGGTCTAAAAGTATTAACTGCTTTGGGACTTACAGCATATGGTATAAGCCAATCTCTATATACCGGTAAGAAATAAAAATATATTTTTGAATGTTTCTAATAACTTAAAACATAAAGCATGTTTTTGCATTTATTATAAGAATCATAACCTCAAAACGCAAAATGTTTATTTAGATTTCATAATTATACTATATTGTTACATAAATTAATTATTAAGTTTCATTAAAATAATTCCTATTCATTTGTTTTAAATAAGCTTTCATTTAAACTACAATTTATTTCTAAATTTTCGCTTCACCGGCTACATTCAGTTGCATAACATACGGCACTCGCAGCATCATGCAGCAATAATGTTATTATTATAAAAAGCCAATGATACTGAAACTAACTAATTATTATTTATTATTAATAAAAAACTTGTCATATAACCCTTTATTTAAATTTATATAATTGTATTATATATTTATTTTAGTTGATGGTGGTCATCGTGCTATTATATTCAGTCGCTTAGGTGGTATACAAGGTGATATTTTATCTGAAGGCTTACATGTTCGTATACCTTGGTTCCAATACCCAATTATTTATGATATTCGCTCAAGACCTCGTAAAATATCCTCTCCAACTGGTTCGAAGGATTTACAAATGATCAACATATCATTGCGTGTACTATCACGTCCTGATGCAAATCGTCTACCAGTAATGCACCGTCAACTTGGTCTTGATTATGATGAGAAAGTATTACCTTCAATTTGTAATGAAGTGCTAAAAAGTGTTGTGGCTAAATTTAATGCTTCACAATTGATTACACAGCGTGCACAGGTAAATAAAATACGTTTGTTATTTAAAAATTTTTATACAAGGTATTTTTTTCTAGGTATCACTTTTAATACGTAAGGAGTTAGTCGAACGTGCTCGTGATTTTAATATTATTCTGGATGATGTTTCCTTAACTGAACTTAGTTTTGGCAAAGAATATACTGCTGCTGTTGAAGCTAAACAAGTTGCTCAACAGGAAGCACAACGTGCAGTGTTCTTTGTTGAACGTGCCAAACAAGAAAAACAACAGAAAATCGTACAAGCCGAGGGTGAAGCTGAAGCAGCAAAAATGATATCCTTTTTAAAACGAATTATATTATGTAGTTAAATTTGATAGGAAGTTTTCTTAGATATAATTTCTGTGAAGTATAATTACCACTTGAGCTGAATTGCTCTGCTCTTTCAGAGATCAAAGGTATCTCAATTTGATAGATTTGATTGGTGTCAAGTTAATTTCTACTCGACATTGAAATGAATTGCTTCTTTAGAGACTACAGGTCTTTTAATTTAAAGTATACAAATCATAAAAATGCTATGTTGCAATAAAAAGTGTTATATAAGTTTGGGATGGAAAAGAATTTTGTTAAAAATTATATTACATATTATATGAATACATATAATTCATATCTGTTCAAAATATATTAATCAACAGTGAACATTTATATAATTTCAACAGCAAAAGTTTGCCTTTATATTTGAACTTTCTGATTATAAAGACCTTACGCTAAGAACTACCCTAACGGGCATCCCCATCAAACAGACACTTTCTTAAGTAGTAATGTGGTCCTGGGCCACCATTAAACTCTACGTTTTTTACATTTATTTTTATTCATACAAAGTTCTAGGTATAAGCAAGTATCTAATAAGCATAGTGATAATAGAAACTTCCTCCCAAAACGCTTACGCCCTAATGCAGTGTCATGAGAAGAGAACACCTCTTAGAACAAGAACAATAGACCTCTTAAGTGGCGAATTATTCCAAAACCCCTTTTGCTTGGGCACACTTGTTTTATCATTGCAATTGCAGGCGGGACAGGAATTGTTGGCATGAAGTGCATAATATCATTGTTTATTCGTAGCTGTCCATTAACTTTACAATTTCTTCCTACATCAAATGTTTCAATATCCACTTTAAACCCTTTTATTGGATTTTAAAAAATTTATATTATTAATAACTTTTTTCATTGATTGCAAAATTTTTAGCATATGTTTTCCTTAACTGTTATGTTTACTTAGGTCTGGCTGTCAAGGAAAATCCAGCTTATTTGAAACTCAGAAAGTTGCGTGCTGCACAAAGTATAGCTAGAACTGTAAGTTAATAAAATTTATTTAGTATTAGAAACTCTTGTATGTAAAACTATTGTAACATTTTAATATTACAGATTGCAAGCTCACAAAACAAGGTCTACCTATCAGCTGATAGCTTGATGTTGAACATCCAGGACTCTGGCTTCGATGACATGACTGAAAAAGTTTACAAAAGTAAATAATTAAATTTTGATAAATATTTTCAAAACAATTAACAAAAAAGTTAATATCATTAAACATTTACATTCAATGATTTATGTTGAATTTGTACTGTAGGAGAATAATGTTAAATTTTTCTTATATTAACTTCCAACAGTACTGGCACAGTAATTTATTCTGTTTGGATTTAAGGATAAGTCTCCAAAATATCTAATAACTTTTAAGTAATATAATTTTTGAAATATTGTTAAATATCAATTATGTTGGAAGTTCATTTTATTATGTTATATTTTTATTTTCATTGAAATTTCTTTACTCAGCTTTGCGCTCATATATTTTTTATTAACTTTTTTGTTAATTTTTTATTTTTTTAAAAACATATATATTGAAATTCTTAAAATTGAATTGAAAGAAAAATAGTTTTAAGTTGGAATTACTTATTTGATTTCTTCCATTTCGTAGTATATAAAATATTTTAAATTAAAATTAAAATCTTTAATGGAAATTTCATTTTCATATAAATTTGTAGAATTCTTATCTATGTTATGCTTTTTGTTAATTTTTCACGAGTTCCTTAAGTAGATTGGAATGTTTAAATTTGTAAGATTTACATTATATTTCAAAATTTTTGCATTTAAAATTGCTTAATAAGCAAAACTTGTTCCAAACAAGCAATTACGAACAATAAAGTGAAAATAGACTTAAAGCAATGAATTTGTAATTAAAGGACATTGTAAAATGTTATTATATTATTATATATAAACTAAAGAACAAATTGTGTTTTAATTAATTTTAATTAATTTAATTTCATTCATTATATCCCCATTCCATTCTCATGCAAAATTGTGAAAAATTAGCAAAAAGTTAGTTTATTTAAAATTATTAAACTTATTTTGCTAATTGTTGTTAACAACTTCAATTTTGCAGTTCGCACGGATTGGTATGACAATCCAGTCACTGGCAAGAAAGCTTCTCAGAATTCCTCCGGCGTATCAGTGGGCAACGTAGCACACACTCAAGCAAATCGAATGGTCTAAATAATTTAATTAATTTATAATCACAGCTTTAATATTTAAATGTTAAAAATGTTATTTTTTTACTACAATGACGTCATAAATTTAGATTTATAAAAAAAATATTAAAAATTGTTGCAATATTTACAACAATTAAACGAAGTTAATTAATTTTCTAAGCAAGAAAGTACAAATTTTATACTTAGTATAAAAAAAATCAAATAAAATCTACTAAAATAACTATTATGGGTTTTTTAGATTGGAAATAAAGCAAATATAATTTAAAGTCTAAGTCCAGAAGTGGAGGGTCTACACTATGAAACTTACGTGTCATTTAAGATGGTCAACTGCCGATCATTTGAAATTTATTATTAGGGTAAAAATAAGATGATGATGAGTTTATGAAGGGTTCCAGATTGGGCATTAGGGTGGTTTTTATATTTTAAAAATTGAGTTCCTTTAAACAAGCTCCCTTAAATTTTTTCCTTTAAAAACGAGCAGCAACATACTTTTTTTTACGATTAAAGTAAATTTAGGTGTTTTGCTCTGCATTCAAAGTATTGGAAAATCTAGAAGAATATCGGTTTTTTGCAAGTTAATAGATCAATACTGATTTTACAATAAACAAATGTTCGTCTGAGTGATATCATTTCTCTAAAATATAACACTTTCTTATCAATGCAACATCGTAACATGATCCATCTATAGTTTTTTTTTTGTGACAAAATCAAATATCCGTCATTAATGGGTTAACGTGAATCCAAAAAGGATCACTATTTATGACCTATTATATTATACATTAAAAAACTATCTCGAAAATTGAAATCATTTCCTATGCAAAATTAAAGAACTAAGCATTGAGAGGGTTGCTGTTTATGACAAATTTATATATCTTATAACGGAACACATCTTCAGACATCAGGAAAGCATAGACCATACAAAAATAAGGTTTTGTAGGGCTTTTATAAAGAAATCAAATGTTAGAAAAGTAAGAAGTATTGCATTAAGCATATGTGCGAAGTCTGATCAATACATACGATCAAGTCTCGTTTTAGGTAAAGAACCGAAAAATCATGTCTACTATACGGTATGTAAGAAGTAAGATGAAGTGGAAGTACAAAAAGATGTTTTGATTCCAGTTTATCTCTATTTTTGGGTAAAAATACAATAAATATTACCTTCATAAGACAAATCATAACCGAATTGAACTATAGTGGATATATAATATTTTGAATTCAAAATTAAACTTTATTATATATAACTGACGGATTATTTTGACATGCTATATTAAATATTAAGCAGAGATAAAACAACTTGGATGTTTGAATGCCTGAACGATTAGATCAGGCATTCAATTTTGTAGACCGTAGCGTTATTGTACTATATAATATATTGGTCTGATGAAAAAGTATATTTTAAATAAAAGAAGTCGTTGAAGAAGTGCGGTTCCAGGTAGCCGCCTACTTGATATGCCCATTTATTTTTACAACAGTAAACCGTTCTTACACTATAGAGCAGTCTAAGACTATTGACAAGTTATACAACGAGTTTGCATAGTCTGTGTAACCATTGAAACATGAATATGTCTGTGGAAACAGACATATATATACATTTAAATTAGATCAGAAGGAAAATGTTGGGTTGTGAACTACAATTCTGGTTTGATATTAAAAAATTCTCAACGGGAAACATTTGGCCACCATTCAAGATACCGTGACCTAAGTTGGGATATGTGTTCAGCCGGTTATTTTCATTTTTGTTCTGGTAAGATCTATCCTACTGAAGAGATAAGGTAATCATAAGAAATTTATACCTTAGTACTGTTTTTTTCTGTTTTCTTCCTGTGGTGATAGATTACTAATACAATAAAGGTAAAGATCTTAAAACTTAATATGCATGGTTAACTATATCCCAATTTCTTAATTGCAATTGTATTCTGTTTGCTGTTGTTGTAATCCGCTGGGACCGCTTGTGAAGTTCCTTGGTCGTTGCTGGCGACATGTAGTTCCGATACGTAGACCCCGTCGTTCTGTGTGCAAGTGTTCTCAAGCAAAGATGCGAATTGCTTATAAATCACAAGACAGCATTATAAATATAGTAATACAAAATTTTATACAAACATTTATATATTTACCTCTTCATTAAATATTTTTTTATATTAAAACAATTAGTTTAATTAATTAAAATTGCATAAATTTATTTAGTAATTTAATTATACGTGGGCTATATAATATCGTTATGAATAATACTTAATTGTGTTGGGTTTAGCTAAGTAAATATAATATATTCGTCTGAACGATCTCATAAATTTGCAAACACGACATTCATACAATATTAATAGAAAAAAAGGGATTTATCCTCTAAAGATATCCTTTATGGTTACGTAAAAATAGTTCTTAAGGATAGTGGGTAATGCTTATAAGAACGATAAGTGTAAATTTGTTTGTGGGTCTTATATAATATAAACGTTAAAGTAGTTGAATGCGATTTAAGAACGATTTTTCCCTAAATACTATATGCGTCCATAGATGAAAGGTGTCCTTTGAAGTTTAAATTGTAATTCCTTAATTTTGCGCTTACAACTAAGGGCAGTAAATTCGGTAGCGTAGAGTATGTGCACGATCATCTCTTAATTAAAATAATATATTAACCTTCGTCAGCTGGATTAGTAAATGCTGTAGCCGCAGCTTAGCTGACTAGAATTTAATTATTATACTTGAGAAAGAAACATCAAGCGGTCGAGGGAGGTTTATTTGTGCTAACGTTTGCACTTACTACTGAAGGATTGTTACTTCCGCGATTATTTTCACTACTCATATTATCGCGTTCTCGATTGCGACGTAATGTTGAGGTGGATGGCGCTGAAGTGCTTAATGAAACCGAAGCATTTAAGCCACTATTACCTACTAGCAAGCCGGCAACGTCATTGGCTAATATACTACGACCACTTACAGCTCTTCCAGGCACTACTAAATTATTTGAAGCCGCTGACGAAGTTGCAGAAGTTAATGTTGAATTCGCATTATTTGATGATGATACGCTACTGTTGCTACCGCCAACCACTGCAGCTGCCACTGCTGCTGCAGCAAACGTCTCTGCTATTGTGGACAAAGGTCATAAATTCGTTGTCTGCACAAGACCACGTTCCAAATAGAAACATTCTAATACGGCAGCACCAACAGAACTACGACGTGCAACCATCGAACTAACAATTGTCCATTTATTAAGGCGAGTATCATATCTTTCTACAGAGTTTAGAGAAGAGGAGCCATCATTACCACCTAAAGCATACAAAGAGCCATCAACTTCGACTACTTCATGAGTGGACCTGGAACAAATATTCGTAAAGATATCAAGTGTAAATAAAAACAATTAATTAATTAATATTTTCTTACCTTCTGGAATGCATGGCCGCTATTGGTTCCCAAGAGTTGCGCCTCAAGTTGAAACGTTCGCCGCTTGACATACACATTGTACCATCATTACCGCCAACACAGTACAAATAACCATCGTTTGACGTAACTCCGCAACTACTTCTTCGTGCTGTCATGCTAGGTACCGGACACCAACGACCAATACGTGGATCAAAACGTTCTACACTAGATTGATAATTCGTGGAATCAAAACCGCCAAGAGAATAAATGCAATTTTCCAACACTGCCAAGCGACAATAACGTCTACGTGTGCTCATAGCTGGACAGGAGCTCCAGATGCCAGTTAATGGATCATAACGCTCCATACTGCTGAGACAAGATGCTCCGTCATAACCACCACATACATAAAGTAATCCATCATAAGCACAAATACCGAGACAAGAACGTTTAGTACCCATCGGTGTTATATTGGTCCATTTATTTATAAGGGGATTATAGAATTCGGCAGTTGATAAATCGCTTACACCATCATAGCCACCAACAACATAAAGTTGTTTGTGTAGCGACGTAACACCGGAACGCGAACGTCGCCAAAGCATCGGTGCGATCTGTGTCCAAGAATTGGTACGTGGATTGTAAACTTCGCATTCATTATGTATAGCAAATAGACTGCCACCGCCTACGGCAAATACATATGGTTTCATGCCCTCTGGTCTTCGCTCCTGAGTACGTTGACTACTCATCAGACTACGTTGCTCGGGCAACAAATGATATTTCATAGCTTCGAGTAATAGTTCTTTGCACTGTGAGTCTTCGCGTATAAGTGTTTCAGTCTCTACGCAAGTCATCAGAAAATCCCGACTTACAAGCGGTAAACGTACGTGACTCATGAGTTCTGCAATATGGTTTTGCCGTTTGTCTAAATCATGCTTGATCCAATTAAGAACTGCTAAGAATACTTTCTCTTCCGAACAAATATTCAGTTGATTATTTGATATTAAATCTTTGACCTAAGCGGGAGAAAAAGTTAATAAGAATCAATGTTTTTACTATATAATACCTCTTCAAAGGGCAGAAGAAGAAATTCTTCAGTACCAACAACTTGTTGAAAATTTTGTAGTGCATATTTGTGGGATCTTGTATGGAGTTCCTCGCAAGAATGTGCATCTGTAATTATGTTATTGTTATAAATTATTTAAAAATATAAACGAAATTTCGTAAAATTAAAGTCGACAAAGATATTGTGACTACTCTCACTGTGGTCCAGTTGTATGGAATTCTACTCTAACCTACTACTCTAGGTTAATAAAGCGTAGGAATATTGCTACTATAATGCGAGTGAGCAGAAAAGCGCAAATACAAATTTTTGAGTGAAAAAATAAGAACATTGAAAAAAAGAAACACATATACAACAGCTACAATTTAAGATGGTTGAGCAGTTAATGAACATTAATCAACTCCCATCATCTGAGGTGCATATAATGGAAGATTTTTCTTAAGTTAGATTTCATTGAAGCAAAAAATATAACACGGAACAAAATCCATTTTATAATGAATATATATATTATCAGAGTCCAATTTTGAAACGATAATGAAAATATAAAATTGTATATACAACTTAAAAATAAAGCTATATTATTTTTATTTGATATCATAACCATAACTTGTCCATGAGAACAAAGTAATAGAGTTCTTAGGTATTGTGAGATTAACCCAAAATAGTGACGACTGTGCATTTGGTATAAAGAGTCTTCTGGATATAAGTTCCCTTGTACTGCCATTTACAGTATACAAATTATTTACGATCGCTTTTTGCGACAGACGAATAGAAATTTGTCAAATCTTACCACAGCTATAGGTCAAAGGCGACATGATTCAAATTCTTCAAATCTATGTGAATCATGCCTATCAAATCAAATCTTTAGATTTGATCCATAGAATAAAGGTATAAGTTTCTAAAATAAAATAGGTTTCCGGAATAGTAACTTTTGTTTATCATGTTCACTAGTGTCCAAAAATGAGACAGCTGACATCTGTTGTGACATAGTTCAGGGTTATTTTGTTCCAAATTAAAGTTTGTGGATAAGCTAACCTTTAGCTCAGTTAGTTCAGATAGTTCAGCATGTCCTATCGGGAGATTAGTAAAGTACTCGCAAACAAAAATCCATTCAGCTAGTTATAAACCACTTAAACTCTTTAAATTTACGAGGAATATTGAATTAAAAAGGCTTTGTATTCTTCTTGAATAGTGTCATCATCGTACCAATTTAGATACCAAACTTGATAACGAGTAGTATTTATTCAGCCTGTTTTGGACATGTATAAAATGTATTTAAGAAAAAGAATCTAACTTTCATAAATTCATTTAACTATTTAATTAATTTGATATAAGTCAGTTTTTTATAGTTTAACTAATCAACTTCTCGTGAGAAACTATTTAATTTAGTTTAAAAATTAAATAAATTAATTCACAACATAGCATATATACTGATTTCAAAAATCAAGAAAAATGACTTACCAGCAAAACTTCGTATGCCCAAACAGTTGGAAGGATGCAATTGTCTGAGCAAAAACTTGCAACAAGCTTCACGCACCGAGTGTATCTGCAGCAAACCAGAGGCAGGAAGCAACACTTGAACGTTTTCCTCGGTAATTGTTATTTCACCCGTGTATGAATAATCGATGAGCAGACGTAGCGCAATCACATCAACATCATGTAAACGAACGATTCCTTGGGTACGTTCTAGCATATCATCTGCCATGTAGGAAGTGACCACGAGAAAATAAAGTACAATTTATTTATAAATATAAACGTACAAACAAATAATCAAAGTGTTTAATTCCATTTACCATTGAACATTGCATAAAAATACGGTGAAACCGAAGCGAGCACGACTTTGTGGGCATGCAGAGTGGCTCCATTAACTTCCAATGTAACATCGCAAAGCTATAAAGTAAGAAATAATTGGATTAGAATATAAAAATTCGATTTATTTAATGCCAGAAGAAAAACAAATACTAGCAGGTGTAACAACCTCTGCTAACTCCCCTAATCCCCAAATAAACTATTTATTTTAATTCCACTACAAACGCTTCAATTTGCTTCAATATTTGCTTAACCAGTCGCCGAACGGGGATTAAAAAGCAAATATTTTCGTATCTTTGAGTGTTTGCTTTTCAGTTGGCGTGCTCTGCTTTCTTCGTGGAACGGGGTTTGTTTTAAAGCTACTTCTTCTTTCACTTGTATTTCTATTTGTATGTAGCACAAATTGGATTAACCACACAGTACCGCAACACAATTTAACACTTTTAAGGTTACTGCAGAGTAGAGGTGTTTGACTCTTTGAAAGGAAGCGACTTCGGAACCCAACGTATGGATTGCGAGCATGGATGTCAATGTTTGCAAATAAAAAATTTAAGTTTTATTTTTTTTTTCTAAAATGCAAACATAAGAATGTAATGGATCTATGGATACCAAGTCTCACATGAAACTTGAAACCATTTTTATATTAGGTATGATGGCCATGACAAACTTGATGCAACTCCCTTATGGAATAAGGATTATTAAAATTGGATTTGTGTTATTGTTAAAGAATTCAGTTTACTTATGTGTCTTCTGTAAGAAGCTTGGTATTCATACATTTAAAAATTGAGAAGAGTTTAGTAGTACTTTAGTAGGTTCTTTGTAAAATGCTTAGGATACGGTTGGGTATACAAAGTTTGTGAGAAAAGCATGTTTTCTTAAACTTAATGTTATTGAAATTGATGAAATGAAATGTGTATTTTCTTCAATCAATTATTATTTAAACTTATTAATATTACCGAAAAAACTTAGCACTACAATATTTCGTATAACTACTTCTGAGATTGACAAATTTTGGCTATCTCTTAAAAGTATTTTCATAAACATTAAATAACTTATTTTCGCAAAATGTTTAGGTTCGACCAAAACGGTGCTACTAGTTACTACTAGAGACTACGGTACTACTAGAGAACAATATATTGCATTATTTTTGGTTTCTCTCTCTTCAGACACTTCATATTCCGTAAAGTATTATCTAAATATATCTACATCTCTTTTTTGTTATAATAAAGGAAGTTGGAAAGATACGCAGAAATCACACGGAATAAGGCTACTGTAAAATATAAAAATAGTTAACGAACTCATTAAGATGAACGAAATAAAAGACTACCAGAAGCTTTGAAAAATAGAATTAAAAGCAACATGTAATACTGAAGCTAAGCGAAGAGACACAGAAAAGTGTCTAGTCTAGAGTTATCGCATAACGAAAGTCGCCCTGAAATAGGATAAAAAAGAATATAAAGTATTACAAAGAATATATAATCTGCTAAGTAAATGTCGATTAGAGAACCAATCAATATGAATGAAGATCCTTATTGTGACTTTTACTGCAGTTCTGAGACTATGAAGGAAGTACTTTACATCTACTTTCATAGTATCCAGCACATGCATATTAAATATATTAGGTACGTACTCTCTAGAGGATCTAAATAGCACACACCTACAAGATCTTTCATTGAGAAACGTCTTCAACTTAAGTTTTTGACGCATTAGTGGCTAATTCATATTACTCTAAAGTACCTATATTTTAGAGATGGATTTTCACAATATCTTAATAGATATTTTCGAAATTAAAATTTCTCTATATACTGTAAATATAAAGAAGAAAGTTTATGTAGATTTCTGTTTTTCTTTCTTGTGGAATGCATAATAATGAGAATTTTTTTTTTTAGAACTTTAAGTAAAATTTTGCATAAATTTTAAATTTCACATATAAAATAAATTATAATAATAATAATTTAATTTAATATAAATATTTGCTTTCTTAGTGACAGCTAAGCGGTTTTGGGAGCTTGAGTGATAGACACTCAAGAGCAGTCAGTGCAACCCTAATCAAAGCAATCATTAAGCAATGTTGCTTGAACAAGCTGACAGTACACTCATAGGCTAGTCAAAAATAAATAATAGAGATACCTCTAGCAAGGGCAGAACTAATGCACTGTCCAAAGGTGGTTTAAAAATTCCAGTCATAGTAATATCCACTATATATATAGCAACAACAACCTCTTCTCTTTAATTAAACTATTTGGAGGTATTACATATCTTAAAAAAACGAACCAGTTAAGGAAAGACAAGTACACGCTTAAAAATTCTGTTACACAGTTTGAAGGACAGGTAGACCTCTCGGGTATCAGATTCTTCCAAAAAGGATTGACAAAGTTGTGGGCGAAATGATTGGTTGAGTATTATTACTCAATATTTATCAAAAGTTATCGATCTCTTTCAAATTTTAATTAGTACCGATAAATTTCTTTTAATTAATATAACTTAACTTCTTTAATTTTTTCTTTTAGATTTTTATTTAATTAAACCCAATCCGACTTTCGTAATAAAATACAGTAACTCAAAACAATATAAGGAGTTTATATTATTTTGATCTGAACTCTGTATAAATTTTAAATTGAGAAATAATTACAATCAAAAAATTAAAACAAAGTTCTATTTAGTAATTACTTTCCAAACCAGGACGCTAATTTAGAATTTTCGAGAAATACACTACACTTACTACCATATTTTTTTTGCTATCTTGTACATAGTCTTATCAATTTCGATCAATATGGATTTAGTGAAAACGTACGCAGCAGTAAAACTTTATTCAACATCTAGATATGATAAGACCCAGCTTCTAAGCAACGGTAAGCACATTAGCTGGCATCTTTAGAGTTTAAAACTATACTACTTTAAAACCTATACATATAAGATAGCATCTGATCATTCAGCTTGGTTGACGTTCATTAATTAGCTACTGCACTGACAAGTTCAACAATAAAAAATAAGTATTTAATGAAAAAAAATTTGACCAACACATCGGAAAAAACGCAACTACTTTAACATTTAGTGGAATATGACTTCGGTTATATACCTCTATAAGTCTATATAGTTACTATATAAGATAGTAATTGCACGTAGATGAAAATAATAATTGATTGTTTTTCACTTAGTGAGTGTCGACTAAAATAAGGAAATAAAATTAATCGTTATCGACAACAAAGAGGTCCACTACAGATACTAAGTGACACTTAAAAAGAAAATAAATTTTGTCATTGCATCTTAAAGTTCGCTAACCCGAAATCGGCATTACTAAGAATACAGATCACAAATGTATTTCCGTGAAAGTAATTTAAAAAAAATTGCTGTATAAAAATAGCTTGTATAGCCTTTTAAATTTAAGGAATAAAATTTCTATATTAGGAATTTTATTGAAATTATTGATAAAAACCAGTAATAAATACGATGTAGTTTTTTATATCTCGCAAAATTATGCCCAAAAACCACAACTGCCTTTAGTTCATAGTCGGATAATTCAAAGTTTTATGTGCGATTACATATAATTCAAAAAGTCACCATCTGCCGAAGTTATCAGAACTTGTAAAGAATGAAAGAAAGTATAAAGCCGGATTTGAATTCTGGTTTTGGGAGCTAAAACAAAATTGTTATTTGTAAAATAACACTTGCCTAATTTTTTGGGGCGTTCGTGGGACGTTCTTTTCCCTTAATCCTTGATTACGGATTTGCATGAACTTAGAGTTACAATTTTTATAAGATTCTGTGCTTTTTTCCAAGGATGCCTAAACCAAAAATTTTTATTAATTTATTCTTGCCAGGTTTACTAAAAACACGACACCCATATTTCTTTAAAATTACAATGTTTGAACTTGAAACTGTTATTATCTGTGACAGGCGTATGTAGAAAAAGATGAGTTGCGAAATTTGAATTCAACATTACAAAATAACCTAAAACCGTTAAAACCTCCAAAAAGAATAAAAATAACTATAGTTTTGGGGCACAATATAATCAATGCAACCAAGGATCTATAACGATCCCATTCCACATAACATACTCTCAAATTAAAACTATTGATGGTGGTTTTTTGGTATAAATTAAAACAGCTGAAAAACCAAACTACTCTTAAGTTATGTGTACTACTAGTTGATCGTCCTAAAAACATGGTTTCAAAAATCTTAAAAAAATACTAATCGTCTCTGTCTCAGATATAGATCTTCAGAACTCATTGTGTGTATTTTTTGTGTAGTTGGCCGTTATAGACGTGAGTCGTGTTTGTGCGCGGCCAATAGTCTGCTACAAACAATGCGATCAGCGGTTTGTTGCCACGAGCAGAGCTACATATCGCCCATATCCGAGTGCACATATTATTGATTCATATCATTGGTTACCTGACCCTTCCACCGAAGATGCGAACTAGCGGATACCGAATCAAACAACTTTTTAACCAAAAAACGTTTGTTGGAGTGCCTCTGATGCACTACTTCAATTCACAAAAATGTTTACTACAACATTTACGCTTAGATTTAATTCTATATAATATAGCTAGGAACTAATAGGTCTATGCATGGTCTACGGCGATTTACAACAACCTTACGTAATCAATGTATACCACTTTTTCATTTTTTCACTAAAAATTTTCATTACACATATAGGTGGTCTTAAACTAATTTTATATTTAAAATTAATATATGAAGAGCCCATCAGTAAAATTTATGAAAAAAGTTGGTATGAACTACAAGCTGACTATAATAAATATAAAGTTACATTCTGTCTTGAGAAATTTCACACTTTTCATACCACACTGTCTGAGCAGTTAATATCGTCTAAGCCTTTAGGGATTCATATAACAAATTGTACACTAGAAATGCTCTCAAGCTGCAGATAAGCATGTGAATGCTCACACTTTAAGTGAATGCCCATATGTATATGTCCTTCAACACTTTAAAATTTTGTGATACACAAGTGAACTCTCTATGAGATGAAGATACCCACCATATAGAGTATATACATTTATGTGTATATGCGACTTTAAGTTCAAACATCAAGTGCACTGCACGTAATATGAATTGCAATTTTC